CCCCAAACCCACGGTGACCCTACATCCCCATTTGCCCAGGACAGTCCCAGTGGTCTCCTATTGTTCCAGCATTCCTTCTGGTCAGTGTCCCCTGTCTTAACTCCCTGTTCCATCGCTGGTAGCGTAAGCTGTGACCAGTGTCCTGATGAAAAAAAAAAAGTCCCCAATAAAAAACATGGACCTGGCTTACTGAGTGGTTTTAATGACCAAATCCAAAGGGCTGCATATGCGATTTGACAAAACACACACATACAGTGCTAAACAGAATCCGGAAACTGGCATACTCTGAATCTCAGAGTGGCTCGTATTCCACTAGAAACCTACGAAAATGAGAGGAAAATATGGTGTTTCAAAGAAATGCAAATACTACCTCTCTAGACACTCAGAGGTCCATCAGGTACAAACAACTGCTCTTAAGTAATTAAAGTCTATAGTGTTAGACAAGTGTCTCAATAAACACACCTTCTACCACATTTTACATGGAAATTTAAATGCTTATTTACATTTACTTTCAGGCTTAAAGTTGAGCAGATGTCTCGAGGCCCTTCTGGGAATCAAAATGGCTTACATAAATCCTTCAGATCAAAAGATTTCATGTCATTGCAAACTTTTTATTTAATTCTATTGCCCATTCAAAATATTGGTATGGTTTTATTTCAGGTTTATGGAAAGCAAAGACTGAAGGGCACTGGTCCCATCTAATACATTTTAAACACTCAGATTGCTTTTTCTACTGTGAATGTCTTTGCGGGAACTGCACAAAAGAGTTTTCTGCAGAACCGAGGTTTACTGAATGGAAAGGATTCCTTTAACGAGCTATTTTGAAGATTTAAAAAAATCTTCAGAAATTTTGATCTGATATCAGAATTACTTCATCAGATGTGAATTATGTTTAAATGGGAAGTTGAAGCTACAACATATTGCAGCAATGTTTACTAGGAGTTTTCTTTTCACTTATTTAAACTCAGCAAGTAGTTTAAATACTAGACTATATTTGCAGACTAACCTATTTGTCACCGGAGTTGTTTGGTTGATTTGGTGAGGTGAGTTTTGGGTGCCTACTATGTGCAAGACCCTGTGACAGCTATTGAATGGGGATAAAATGCCATTTTATTTTATTTTATTTTGTTTATTTTTTTTTGAGACAGGGTCTCACTCTGTGTCCAGGCTGGAGTGCAGTGGTGTCATCATAGCTCACTGCAACCTCAAACTCCTAGGCCCAAATGATCCTCCCACCTTAGCCCCCCAAGCAGCTGGGCTTATAGGTGTGCGCCATTATGCCCAGCTAATTTTTTCTATTTTTTGTAGAGATGGGGTCTCGCTTTGTTGCCCAGGCTGGTCTTAAACTCCTGGCCTTAAGCAATCTTCCTACCTCTGCCTCCCTAAGGATTACAGGTGCGAGTCACCGCACCCAGCTTTACAACACCATTTTAAAGGGGTTCACAGGAGTGGCCTTCGAGACGTTCCTTAATAGATTGCAGGATTTTAGCAGGAAGAAAAATGGAATGGGGATGGGAGCAGTGGAAGCAATTCCAGGCATAAGGAACAGATGGGGCAAAGGAGGAGAGTGTGAGGGGTGCAGAAAAAGGCAAGCATCGCTGGGTTGGATGATGAGGGAGACTGGGTTATAGGCGATACTGGGGTCCCTTCATGACGTATGCTAAGTTTGCATCTAGTGTTGGAAGTCTCTGGACAAATGAGTGACATGATTAAATCTCTGCTTATAGATCTGAACTGGAATTGGGAAGAGGTGGAGGTGCACACCAGCTAGGAGGATTTTTGCAACTGTTCAAATTTTTAAAGAAGTAATATGGGTGCAAGCTAGGATAGCAGCAGTGGGAAGAGAGAAGAGGGATGGATTTTTAAAAATCCCTAGGACTTGGCAACTGTTTACATGTGAGGAGCTGTAGCGAGTGGGTGTTCCGAGATAACACTGAGGCTTTGAGCCCCAACAGTGGGGAGGTGGTGAAACCATCAAGATAAACAGAGGCCACAAACACAGCTTTGGGGTGAATGAAAATATGCTTGGTCCTGGATCTCCCGAGGCTGATTTCAAGGGGTATAACCACGGGGAGAAGTACACATGCATCTAAGTAATCTACAAAGTGTTCATGATTATAAGTGACTCTTTGTCTTGTGAATGCAAGACGAAGGGAAGGAAGGAAGGGAAAGAGAAGGAAAAGGGAGTGAGGTGGTGAGAGGGCGCAATGCCACGGACGAGATGCAGAGCAGGCGTGGAAGCGGCGGAGGGCAGAGAGCAGGGGCACAGCACAGTCGGGGCTAAGAGAATGACAGGGTCGGAGCGGAAACAGCTGGAGGTGGGGTAGGACCGAGAAGCAGGAGAGCACGGAGCTGCCCAAACCTAAGGAGGCAGCTGTCTCAAAATAAAGGCAGACAGAGGCCAGAAGGCTGAGAAGCCGCCACTAGGGTTAGAGTCGTAGAGTTCACGACCTGAGCGCTGATGAGGTGCGGAGTCTCACGTTAAGGGCTCGGCCTGCCTTTCCCTTCACGCCCGCCCTGTGAGGTAGGCACTGCGTCAGACGGCACCGGGCAGTTCAGATCTGTGAACTGACTTCCCCGAAGTCACACAGCGAGTAAGTGGAGGGCAGGGTCTCTAAAGCAGCTAGATCACCCTCAACCTGTAACCCTCACACACTCGGCCATGTTCTTCCACTGAGTGGTAGGGGTGGAAGCCAGATCTTAGCGACTGGAAAAGAGAGGGGGACAGAAACGCACGTTTATTCTATGTTCACCGTGAGCCTGGAACCGAGCTCAGCGCTGTCTGTGAGTGTAGACTACAGGCGCTGAAAGGGCGGGCGGTGATAGCTGGGGGAAGCAGGGTGGTGGCTCTTTCAGGAGGGGCAGGAGGGGCCCTGTTACCCTGGGTCCCTGCTAGAACATGGAAATCGCTTCGCAAAACAGAAACCTGCATTAACATGATCCTTTTTAAACTAGGGTTTTACCACTATGACAGAATGTAGTGGCTTGCTTCTTAATACCTATGAAAAGTGCTATTTCCTATTTTTAATACGTGGGGGAAAGTATTCATGCATTAGAATTGTACATACGTTTCTGAGTTCCTTGCATTTTTCTGTTGAGAGTATGGTATTTCCTTTCAACATGATATTGATCTCTGGATCATAGGAAACAAAAGGAAAATAGGGCATGAGAACATATGAGCTAGCAAAGGAACAAACGCCCATGGCTGGGGTGAATTCTCTCAATCAGAGGGCGGTTTTGTGAGGGGAGGAAAATTCACTTTGCCCTTTTGAGGGAAAAGATCATTCTCCCCGGAGCTGCAGTAGCCTTTGTGAAGCACGCCTGGGCCCTCCCCGGGGGATTGCAGGGAGGCTGCTGCATTTGTACACCTGGGAGAGAAATACGCAAGCCGTCTGCTCATCTGGGCAGCTGTTTTCAGCCTTCATTCCTTTGAACCAGCTGGAAGCCCCGTGCATCCCTGAATGTCAAGATTGGGCGGGAGGATTTTCTCCCTCTGAATTCAGAAAGGCACCCAGGGAAGGGAAGGCCAGACCTGTGCTAAAAGGCTCTCAGATCCGGGGCCCTGCCAGGGACATAGCAGGCTGCTGCTGATCAGCCTGTGGAGCAGCATTTTGATAAACTCGGAGGAGTCACGTGCTGTTGCACGTTCGGGACAGCTTTTCATGGCGAGGATTTTAAATGATCTCTCCAGGTCAAAAGTATTTGGGAAATTTGAAAGGAGGTTAGATAATTAAAGCTATGTCCACTCAGTGCTGAAGCAACGAGTGAAATGAGAAAAATCAAACCCACTGATTGTTTGCATGACCTAATGCTCAGCCACGGGTCTAGAACTCCCTGCACCCCCGCCCCCGCACAGCCCCATCCCAGGCCTAGGTGTTTCTGTGAGATGGCCAAGGCTGAATCCACAGGTCCTCCTCCCTCACCCCCATCAGTTCCATTTCATCCCCTCCACTCTAATGGCACCAGGGGCTATGAGACTCTTCCAATGAGCAAGTTCAAATGTCTGCTTCAAAGCTGACCTGAAGAACCGGTTTTCTATTTGTTGCAATCACCAGCCATTGATAACACAGAATTGTATTACAGGGGTAGGAGTGAATCAGAGCTTCCCCCTCCGACCTGATAGCCCACAGTAGGAGTCTAAAGCTCGCACAGTCTAAAGCAGTGGCAGAGCTTACAAACTGAAGGACCAATTTTCTCCTAGGGCTGCATGCTGGGAACCAGGATGTCTTGGCCCGGGACTACAACAGCTTGGCTTTGCAGCTTTGACCCGCAGTCCTGGGCAGTCATGAGCAGCTCCGGAATCTTCAGCTTAGCATTGCTTTTCACCAGAGGCTAGCCTAGTCCCTTGAGCTCCTTCCCCTGGCAGGAAACAGAGAGACAGGCCCAGGTCTGAGACAAGACTCAGAACACATTATTCATCCAGGAGGAGTCCGGGTTGGCCACTTGCCCTGAGACACCTCTGTGCTAACTGTCCTGCTCAAGGGCCTTGCTGTCCTTTTCAAATGAGACCAGCTGTGCCAAACCCTTGGGGAAAGTGCTCAGCATCTGTGCCACCTCCAATATCAGGGTTACAGGATTTTTTTTAGAAGGCCCAGGTACTTGTATTGACTGTCGGACTATGTGAAATTGTCCTTTTTTGTAGATCAAATATGGTCCAAAATGTAATGTGTTCATCCTCACAATAGAAATTATGAAAAAAGTGTAGGGTGTGTGGCAAAAAGAGCACAACTTTGAGAGCCAGACTGGGTCCAAATCTCAGTTCTGTCACTTTCATTCAACAAACATATGCTGCATTCCTGCCGGGTGCCTGGTAGTGTTCTAGGAGTTGGCCACAGAGTGGTGACGGAGACAGATGGGCCCTGCTCTACATGGCACGTTCTCATGTATGCTTATCTTCTGGGGCCACCTCCAAGCTGAATGATGTTGGGCCAGTCACTGGGCCTCTGTGAGCTAAGTGTTGTGAGGTTAAATGTAACAATGCACGTTCGGCCCAGCATGCGTCGGTGGCCTTCAACAAGTGGCAGTTTCTGTTATTTTTACTGCGCCTCATGGAGGACTCCTAATAAATATCCGTTGACTGGAAAAGCCTTGAAATGTATTATGGGAACATCTAAGGCCATCTTCTAAGAGTCCTGAGGCTAGAAACCACTGCAGGAGAATGGTGGGGCAGGGCCATTGTAAGCAAAGCCCAGGGATTCCAGAGACCACTGCTCTCCCCCCTACTCTGCCACTCGAAAGAGACCAGCTGCTGTCAGCTCCCATGTCAGTCAGAAGGGCAGTTGGCATCAGAAGGGTTCAGGGAGGTACGATCTGGTTCATCTTTCTTAAGAGGCATGATATTTAATCTGAAGAAAATAATGGTCCATTTATTGATTGAGACAAAGCAGAGGTTGAGACTTCAAAGGAGGCCTGGAATTTACCCATAGGAAGCTCTGGTTTTAAGAAATCAGCACATACTTGGCTCTAGTTGATAAAAGGACATGCAAATTGAGCAGTTTTCCCCCCAACTTTGAACCCAATTGAGTCACTAGTGTGAATATAGACACAGAGTTACAGATTCCTTTTATAGCCCAGGCTATAAACAGGCCACACGGCCATCACACAGGTAAGCCTGCACCCCATTTACAGCTGCATAAATCGTGTTGGACAAGGTGCTGATAAGTGCAAAGTCGCTGTCTAGCAGTACAGCTTATGACGGTACCTTCGCTGTCATCACAGTCCTGAGGTCCATCCTGCTCTCTGGGTCCATTCGTCACAGGTGGTGCACAGGGAGGTGAGACCAACAATTGCACTAACTTTTTCTCATACAACTTTCTCGTGGAAGCTGAGGAAGAATGTGGAGGACAAATGAAATTGTTCTGGTTTTGTATGTGATCCTACTGGATTCAAGGTATTTCATAATTCAGACCTTTATTCTTGTCCCTTACATTATTGGTTAATTATGGCTTTTAAAATGAGGCAGAATCCACAGCTACTCAACTTACTCCTTCCCCTCCACAAACACAGGTGGATGAGCCACAGAGTCAGGCATGGGATACATTTGAGAATAAAACGGACAAGGTTGTGTGTCCTAACTATGAGGAATATAGACAATAAATATACAAATTGTTACCATAGTGCACATACTAAAACAACACAAAAAATCGGGATAATATAATAAAGAAGTAGCTGGTTTTTCGCTGCTGAAAAAAACAAATCCCTTTTCTCTGGAACTGTACTTACTGAACTCTAAGTAGGATCTGGGTATATTTATTGCCTCTTCCCTCTTTATGGTTTTCTGTTCTCTCTATTTTCCTATTTCTATTTTAAGGGTCTTTATTGCATATGTTCCTTCTACTGTAAGTGGTTTTAAATCTTTAGAGGGAGTTTGTAAACAATAAAGGATTAGTCTCTGATATCTGCCGTCTACTCTACATACGTAGTATTGGGCCAGGTGAATATCCAAGCTTCTCAAGGTGGCTCTGCAATTCGCAGTCTTTCAGACACTTCACATCCACCATGGTGACAGAAGTTTGGCCTCTTTTCTGACAGCGGAATCCTTGAAATAGCAAAACACTAAATTCACTAAGACAGCCTTGCAAATAAGTACTAAAACATTACCAGTCCACAAAAGTGTTTACAACCCCATCTCCCTATTGTCAGAGATGCACAGGCAATAAAGCAAAAATCAACACTTTCTGCTGTTTTCTGCCATAAATTCCTGCTGGGACGAGATGTCTTGATGCAAAACTTTAGATGGGTGTCACTTTCCCCAGTGTCCTTGGGGTTCGATTATTTCTAACTTTTCTGCTCAACTAATGGGAGAAAAATCTGGATAAAATGAACGAATATGTCCATTACTGCTCAGGAACTCTGAGTAAGACTCGAGCTCCGAGAAGATAAGAAGTTAATTAAATATGAAAGAGCTGAGAGAGGTTTTTTTAGTGAGTTAAATAAAAGTTATTTATCCCTGCCCTCCTTTTGATGAGAGTACAGAGAGTATGGAGCGTTCAGTTATTGCAAACAGTAGTAGTTTTCACACTTGTAATTTAACTCCGAACATAACGAGATGGTAGTTTTTAATTAACCGCCAGCAGACTTTGTAATTGCTGAATTGGCATTTGAAAAGAGTCAGCTATTCATTCTCTGGTACACAAATTGATTTATATAGATTATGCAAGTCTTGCTATGGTTTTCCAAACCTGCTCAGCCTCAAGTTCAATTGGTTTTATTCAGCTGATTCCTTGATCCCCCCAAACTGGCTCTTCTACCTACTTAACAAAATCCTGAAAAGGACAGACCCATTTGTCAAAACCTTTTAATAGAGATTTTTAATTTTGGAGTTTGTTTATTGTACCTCATTTCTATCATGTTTCAAACCTTTTTAATATTACAGTGAAAACAACTGCAAGATAATTACTCACCCTAGGATGATCTAAACCAATTTTAAGTAATGACTTTGCTTTTATTGGTGATCGATCAATGTCCAATTAGGAAGAACATTGTATACAAGCTAGAAAAAGCATGAATTGTTACACGTAATAGGTTTTTTTCAGAAAAGCCTTGTTTGACAGTTCTCGACTTTAAGGCTATGTTTTAAGGACAGTCACATAGCACGCATAGTAGGTACTTAGTGAATGTTAGTTCCCTCCTTTTCTATGTGTTTGGGAAACTGAATTAACACTTTTAGGCCAGTAGGAAACAACCTAATGCTAGTAGGAAAGAGGACAATGTACCTCAGTGCCTCAGATGTTGTTTAATGGAATCTAGCTTAGGCAGATCCTGTGACATTTGTTCCTGAGAACAGCTGTCTGTTGTTTCACCAGCTTCCCAAAAATAACCTCCAAAAGAGGCCTCATCAATTTCAAGTAACACCAGACAATTGCCTAGAGGGAACACACATATGGAAGAAAAATATTCAAATGGAATCCAACCGGATGATTAATCCACTTACCCCTTCACATGGTGATCTAAAGTCTATGCAGTTGAGTTGGTTACTAAAGCTGGGTGAGTTTCACCCTAGGGTTTCCACTAGCAACCAATCCCTTTTCGCCTGTTAGATAGTATGGTAATCATAATAGTAACAGTGTGACATCAGTAACCCCCATAGCAACAGATTGCTGTGCAAATCAGATGATTAATTTAACCCAAGTTCAAACAGAAGGAGGTACTGGTCGACTCCACAGGCAGACTGCCATGATAAAATGTCAAGAAACGCGGGGAAGTTATCATTATGCACAGGAAGTAAGGAGCTATTGTCAAACCAAGTGGTGCCAAGAAACTGGGAAGGGAAAGGAGAAATCAAACAACCTCAAGTGTCTAGGCCACCCATCAAAAGCCCCATACTAGCAGACGAGTAACGTGGCCATGTACTCTAGGGAAAATAGGAAAGTGGAAGAAACCTATACTAATTTATTAAGGATTGCTCATTTAAGAAAATAAGAATCAGGATGGAGTGCAGATAAACATTAATAATAATACATTACAGGAGTTTGATGGTTTTGGCCTTTTCAAAGCATTTTCATATCATCCTATTTCATCCTCTGGACTCAGCTAGAAGACAGCTGAGACAGACATTATCATCTACATTGCAAAAGGCTACTTGCTGTTGTTTTATTTTGTTTAAGGAAAGATCTGTCAGACCATTAGCTTGTATCTTTTAAGAAATATTGCTTAGATTTTAAAAACATTGATGCAAGACAAAATGTGACTGTGAGAAAACACAATGCCTTGATTAAATACCAGGGACACAGGGGCGATGAGGACAGTGGGGCCAGCCTGCCTCGAGTCAAAGCCCAGCTCCATCATTTACCAGTTGGGTGATGTCAGACTGGGTAAGTTACTCACTTTTCTGTGTCCCCTCTTCTTCCTCTGTAATGCGGATGACAGTGGTACCCACCCCAAAGGGCTGTTATGTTATTCAATGAGTTATAACACACCGACAGTGCTTGGCACATAGTAAGCGTTATATAAATGTTTTCCGTTTTTCTATTCATAAGCCCTAGCCTCAGGGAGTTTCCACATTCAGTCTCTTTTTCAGGAGGTCCCAACCCATCTACACTTGCCTGTGGAAGTCTATAATGTCAACTCTTTCCAGATTCTGGGAGAGAGTTGAGCATCTTTGGGTCGGTGGTTAGGAAGGCTCATTGAGTTCTCCCAGGCTGTGGCTCCAAGGGATATCGCTTCAGAGTTTCTGAATAGAGCATCAGTTTCCAAACAAACATGTAATGCAAACATTTACCAACATCCAAATATTGGATTCACCGAACAAAAGTCTTTGAAAATTGACACATTTGTTTCAATCAAAGCACATAAATGATAGGCTTGGGTTATTAAATGCACAAGCATTTTGTTTACATTTCCCAGAATTGCTTTCAACAAAACAGCAGCCAGCAGGTGGAACTGCTTCCATTTAAACAGACTAGTGGCATGAAACAGGCATTTCTCAAATATTTTCTTGGTTAAATCTCTGGAGTTTAAAACAAGCTTGGTTGAGACAGATTAAATCAGATGGTCTCAACCAAAAATCTACGGTTGAGCCCCCTATGATGTGCAAACTATTCTGCCTGAAGATATTCTCTTGAAGCACATTCATGATTCTATTGTCAGCATTATTCCATTTAAGAATTCCTGTACTCCATGGCATCCTGAAATATTTGGTTTCAGTGTTTGCAGCACCCCATTTCCCTCAGTTTTATCTGTGTAGTCCCAGGTATTAGCTTGTTTTTTGTTTTTTATTCTCTGCCTGCTGCAAAGATATTTCATTTCTCGAGGGAAGCAAGTTTTAATTGCCAATCGACTAGGTATTCAACATGATAAGGTATCTAAACCCTGAGAGCTTCCTTCTTTCATTAAAATGTAGATCCAATTTCTCTTCCCTTAATGCCACATGCTGTTATTAAACCGAAATAACGGAAATAGTAAAAGCCAGATGTCACTTCAGTCTCAGGTTTGACATGGGGCACAATTTCCTCTCCTCAAATTTAATCTGCCAGTTATTTACTAACCCCATTCTTTGGAAGAATGCACAATTTAAATGTAAATGCAATTTACATAGGGGAGCAGATAGTAGATTTGCAGTTTCAATTGCCAATAACCATTTGCAAAGGGGGAAATCAACTAAAGCAAAGATCAGCAGCTGTCAGTCTGGAGTCTGCATCACTCACCATTTTCAGATAACTTTCCTCCTGAAGCCACCTGCCCCTGAGTCTCAGCTAGGCAGGCAAAAGGAAATGCAGAATGAGGCATTTCCCCAGATATTTCAAGCTGAATGTACTACTGACATTGGCGGGGGGAAGGGGGGGCAGTTTGGGTTTTAATGAGTGAATCTGGTTGGCACCATTGTTGAAATCATTAGCTGACCAATTTCTTTCAACAATTATTTACTGATCATCTCCTATGGGACAGGCATTATGTTTGGCCTGAACTAGGCAGAGGGAGAGAAGAACACAAAAACATAAAAGCTACGGTTCTTCTTTTAAGTAGCTCACTATCTCCTTAAAGAGAAAAGAAAGCAAATAATTACAAGAAAATAAGATAAGGTGTTAACATAGTGCTGCGAGAGCCCAGAATTGGGAGCCCCTCAGGGTCAAAAATTTCATTCAGGCTGGGATTTCCGAGATGAGCAATAGTTTCCCCCATAAACGAGGGGCTGGGGACGGACATTCTAGGAGCATGGTGAGTGAGAAGGTAGATGAGTCAGGTTGGATAGGCTGGGGCCAGTTTGTGAAGGGTCTGGTGGGGCATGCTAAGGAGCTCGGCCTTCACCTCTGGGCACATTTGGAAGTTTCTAAGTGGAATACGGCATGATTAAATTTAGCTTGATGCTGATTGGAGGATGAATTAATTGGTAGGGCAGGGTCTGGAGGCTACAGAACTACCTGGGGGTTGTTACAACAGTCTAGGAAAGAGATGACTCAGTTCAGGGGAGGATCAGAGAGGAAGGCACGTGATTCATGAATGATTTAGGAGGCAGAATAGCCACAACGGGATGTTTGATTCTGTGTTTCCCCTTCACTTCACTTGCATAGGAACCACCTCCATAACAAATCTTTTGTCTCGGCCATGAGTCTGCTTACATAAGGAACCATATGGAGTTTGGTCTACACAGCACTGACACTTAAAAAATTATTCTGCACTTGTCTAGTCAACCCTTGATTATCCACACTACTTGAAGGCAGCAGCGGTACAGATAATCCATAACTCTCTGCTATTTGGCTTTGGAATTAATTACACCTTTTAGAGCACACTTGCCTTCCTAATTAATCTTTCTTAGACTAATATTAAAATGAACTAATATTCTCTGAGCCCACGCCAGCTGGGCAGGGAAGCAGGGAACGGGAGGGTAGGGCAGGGAGGCGGCTGGGGCCCAGCCTGAGCAGCAGGAGGAAGCCAGCTCCACATTGAAATTCACCACGATCATCCGCAGCGCAGAGCTCAAGCAGCTAGGTCTAGCTCACTGAGAGGTGACTGTATAACTAGAGACTCAAACCCTTGGGAGCTCAGTTAACTGAGCACCTAC